GTTCGAATGTTCTTATCTCGCAGCTGTTGAATGTGCTCTTGTTTTTAACTTTAGCAGCAGTGGTACACCTCAGACGTGCGTTCTTATTCTTAACTGCAGGTGCAATCTGAGCACGTGTTCTTACCTGCAAATTCGTAATTTTTGTTTTTTTTTGCACCATATTCTTGAGTATATTCTGAAGTGCGGGCCTCAACTGTAGTATAGATGTGTGTGTGTATATCGCTCCCGGTCCTACGGCGGCGTATGTTATAGTAGTCGCGCTGTATCGTTGTCTGTCGCAGTCGTGCGTCGTGTGTGGTGCTCGACAAGAACCAACTGGCAATTGATGGCCTGTCAACCGTCAGTTGGTTGGTCTGTCGATTCAAAGCCAGTGTTTTTAACAGCACGACAACGGCTGTTGTATGCTGTGGCTGGCGTATGTGACGGAGGATGGGGTAGGGAAACACAGAGTGATTTATTATCCGCACACAAGCGCCCAAGCTGTCTTCACCTGACGGCTACAGACTTGGAAACACGCCTTCACAATGCCGGGGATATAACCCACACAGCAGAATAGAGTCGTTCATGCACAACACAAATACCCCAACATCGTACACGATCTTCGTTGTTTGGTTATTTTCCTTGGCTGATAGTCTTTGGTTGAATTTAGCTATGACAAGGTTGACATCTCGCTTCTTTTCCGCGCAACTGTGGGGCGAAGGAGCATATCGTCTTTGCCCGGAGGAGGCGCTCAGATGGGAGCCGTTGCTAGCGTGTACGAGGCAATAGCGGCGCGTTGTCCACAGGAAGGATCACCATTATGGCCGGACAACTTCAACGATCAGCAAAGCCGAGTTCTTCAAACCCGCCGAAAATTTGGGCTTGATTGGCGGTACGCCAACTCCTGTCCAATCGGAAATCATACCTCACTCGAGATCTTAGCCGATCACTCGGCGAGGTTAAGGGACGCCACCGTCATCACCATCCCCAACGGCGACTCTACTTCCTTCCATGACAAGGTCCACCAATTCTTTGCCTCGGGCCAACCCTCAGATCTTTCCATTCCAGGAACATCACCGTGCCCCTTTTGTGCCGCTGGACTGCACCAGACCATGTGCGATTGGACTTTGCTTCCATGGACGGCGCACACAGCGCCCAACAGGGGCTTCTTCCGTTCTTCTGAGGTGTTTCACGGCCTCAACCATCAGCCTATCCATGGCGACGTCACTTACCCTCTTTATTGGCGCTCACTTTTCCTTGGTCGGCGTATCTTCCACATCGTGCTCGGCGGAGGACAAACACGGAACCACTTCGTTACTCAGGCGCGTGTAAGAGGACGGTGGCAAAAGTACGACTGCCTCGCCGAAGGAATCGTCACATCGTCTGACAACTTCGACGCTGGAAAAACTCCTCGCAGTACATGCTGGCATATCTCAAGACATCTTTGTGCGTCGCCACCCCGCCGGTCTACACTCGGCCTGCACATCATCACAGCCCTTCTACAACGCGACATCGCCGTCGTCACAGCGACGGCAGCAGCCTTTCGGGACGAACTCATCAACAACGGCCCATCAGTCACCACAACACAGCCCTTCTGGACGGAGGACACCAGCCTCCGGCGACCGCGATCTTCTTCATGGCGACTGAAGCAACCCTGCTTTGAGTCATTTCGCGACATGTCCATCAGCCGCTCGGGCGACATGTGTATAAGCCCCGTCCGGCCGAACATGCTAGTAAAGCATGTATATGCATACGACTTTTTGTCGGAGTCTGTGTTGCATACTTTACGTGAGCTTCCTAGTTTACTTTGTGTACCTCGTGTACAAGATCTTTCGTTTGGGTGACTTGCATACTGAAGGGCCGTCCCCTGCCGCCTAGACTCTCCCGTTTTGCCTGAAGTGGGGCGCGTGTTTTTCCTTGTGTCCGCCGTTCTTTTTTCCTTTGTTGGCGAGTAATGAGCGATCGGGCGCATGACTCTCCGTTTTTTTCTCAAGTGCATGGAACGTTCCGTCGTTGGCGAACAGTCTAAGTGTCCGGCACAACGCAACAAAGAAAAAAGACAAAGCGAGCTTGGGACTAGCACGCCGACGATATTCGTCGGCTTGCTTTTGAAACAATAAGGAAATAGAACAGGGAGGGGGTACGCAGACCCTATTCCTAACCCTAGCCCTGACCTTTCCCGGTTGCATGCTTTTCCAAACATGTGTTCTTGTAAGTCGAAAACACTGCGAAGGATACTGTGACCTTTCGGACGTTGTTACTGTCTGAACGAGGCATTTTTGCGTCATATCTGAATGATGATGCATCTGCTCCGACTGATTCCCTCCGGAGGAACAACATTCTTCTTG